TGTTGGAAAATGGGAAGACGGCAATGACGCTGATTTTTGGAGGGAATTTTGGATATAAAAAATCAGTGAATAACACATTTGAATGTAAAATAATTATTTCAATTGTTTTTAAATTTGGGAAATTAGAAAAGTCGATTGACTCTGTTTTCAAAATATTTTCGTCGAAAACTATTTTTTCAACACTTTTACTATTTTGTGGAATATCAAAATTTTCAAGGTAGAGTGTTGTCTCATTGTATTTTTGAAGGAAGTTTTTCTGAATCGAAACTAATTTAGAAAAGTTCTCTGGTTTTAAAGAAAAGACTGATTCGTTGTATTTCAATAATGATATGTTCGTGAGACGAAATATGAGAGAAACATCATGCATAGAAAGTGTAGAAATGATGAATTTGGGAAGAGTTAAAGTCTCTATATTTGGCAAAAAAGATGTTATTGAATAGCATTGTGAGGTGTTAATGAATCAGAAGACACCCATGGATTGGTTTTCATTGACAAACAACACATTAAACTTGTTTTTGAAATTTTGTAGAAATTGGACAAATCAGAGAGTGGAAGGTATAACAACACATTCATTAAATAAACGTGTTCTAAATGGGACATTTTTATTATGTTTTCTTAGTTTAAGTTTATTTTTAAATATATCAAATATTTTATTCGTTAAATTTTGGTTTAACAACAAATAATACAATAACACCTAAAACTTTAGTATGGTTTAAAATGTCTGCAATTGTAGACAGTCTATTATAATAAAAATAATCGGGAAAAAACAACATAACAACTGACATTTTTTAAATAATTTACGAATTTATGTTTTATTATTTTTTTGTGTAAAAAAAACACAACACATAAATCAGAGACCAAATAATTGTCAGAAGCAGGGTCGGCCAAACGATCATGTTATTGAAAAAAAACTTAAAAAACATTAAAATGGTAAATAACATTATCATTTTTGAAAAACAAAATGAAAATGACAAAACACAATTATTTATACCAAAAGATAAAATGAAGAAAAATAAAACGATAATTTATATTAGACATTAAATTGTTTTCAAATTACTTTAGAATACAACAATATACATATATATTTGTGTTGATTTAATTGTACACTAAACCTTTCAATTGTAAATTATACAAGCAAATAAAACTTATTTAAAGTTGCTTTGATAATAGTTTTTTATTGGGTGATTATTATTATTTTGACTGATTTATATCCTATATTGAATGATCATTTTTATCAAGAAACCCAACTAAAGTTAAGTTTTACTGGTTTGAAAGTAATATGGTTCACTCCATTCGAAAAATAATACATTGTTTGTTTTGTATTATTGCTAAAGATAATAATATTTTTATTTGATTGTTTAATTAGTACTATAATTTAAAAAGGACATAAATGAACTATTCAAAACCTTTGTTAAACTGACAAATATACATATATATACATCAACAATTAATAATAATATGTATGTTGAAAAAGTATATTAATTGTTCAAATAAAAATTTTAAGTTGAAATCACTAAAATTATTTATAATAAATTTTATTGGTTGTAAGTATCTTTTGTGTATATTACAATTATAATGAGTGAGTATTGTTATTTAATTTTAAAAACTTTGCATTTTATCATTTCATATGCTTTTTACTGTTCAATTTTTGTTCTTTAAAACTGGATTATAACACATTGTAATGATAATTAAAACAATATAAAAATTTTGTTTAAATCGTTAACTATAATTTTACCAATTTTTAAAAAACATTTTAACAATAAAAAACTTTTTGATTTTTTTGTTAACAACATGCTAAAACTAAAATATATATTGACACGTATTAGAGATTGCCACGAAGTTGTTTAAAAACTGGATCTTGGCCGACCCTGGAAGGGTGTATTTCCAATTGATTACCTAGAAAATAACGGGTTTTGAAAAAAGTGAAAAAAGATACACCAAAAAATGGTATGAAACTTAAATCTATTTTTATAACAGTTTTTATCTAAAGTTTTAAAACTATTTATTTTACTTCTTACAATTATTTGGTCTCCGCCTATTTTTTATCCAACTATAATGTCGAACAACAATAATTTCTTTTTTAATTAATTATTTTTAAAGTCAGAACCATTAACCATAATTAAATACCATTTAGGCGTTATTGTTATTAAAAAAAACCCTTCAAAATGAAGTTTTTGAACAAAACATAATTGAAAACAAACGAATATTTAAACACTGAACACCAAATACTAAATTTATGTTGCTTATGAAAACTGTATTCACAAACAAAAAACAAATAAAATACATGGAAAGTATACAATGTAGTACATATTGTATACTCCAATGTATATATATTTAGTTTCAAAACGTCCACTTGTTTTCCAATATAGTCATTCGATGATAAAAATATCATGTTTAAAAGAAACAAGTAATGGCATAAAGAATCGTGTTTGTCGAAAAACCTTCAAAATTGTCCAAATTATTCAGAATTTGTTTTTAGTGAGCATTTGAATAATTTTTCAATTGTGGTTTGCAAAAAGTGCTTGGAGAACATTTGTAAAACCAAACTAGTATTTAAGTTGTTCGAATTATTATTTGTCTACAATTGTATACATTTAGAGTAAATCCGAGCTTTAAATTGAAAATGAAAATTTAGAATTAAAACATTTTTTTTTGAAAACGTTTTTTTTCCTAGAATCTTGAGTGTTAATAAACCAAGTTTTAAATGCAAAACTTAATTATCAAAATATATATTTTTGATTTGTAAACCATAAAAAAATTAACACAAAACATTAATGAAGACAGTTTCATTCGTGATAATTGACATTTTGCAATAATGTTGAAAGTTCCATGTTTTCAAAAATCAAATTTTTACTTGCAAACTTCATTACATTGCAAATACACAAATTTTTTACATATACGTTTTCTAACGTTATTTTACCAACACTTTTGGTTGTTATTTGGGTGTATTTTCCTTGTGCGATTTTAACTCTTTGAATATTCCCCAGTTTGATCGACACTTCACTGTTTCCATTTTTTTGTCCATTAAAGTCAAATGACTCCAAATCAATACTTTCCAAGTCAAAATTTCCATTTGAACTTGCAATCATCAAATTGTTATTTATAAATAAAAACTTGTTGAATACACATTTACATACGCATTTGTTGTTTTTATGATAATTATCATACTTTCATTTGGTATGTTTCACGACACATTTTTTATTTACATCAAAATTGAAAATAAATGTGTTTTGAAACATTCTTTCATTGTGTATGAAGTTGACCCGACTTTCAATTCTTTGACATTCAAAATTAACCAACTTTTTATCATTTACAACAAGTTCCTTACCTGCATAACCAACAATTTTGATATTTTCAGCTTCACTTTCATCCATTATAAAGTCCGCCTTGCTATATAAAATGTTGATTTCTCTCGCTTGTTTTGGAGCAACAATTTCACAATTGTCAACAAATTCAACCCACATTCTTTTTATATACTTTGACTTTTTAAAATTGAACGCCATCTTTTCATCTTCCATTTGATCATAAAAGTAGTCGTTTTGAGAATTAAAACTAATAACATCGACTTTGTCGGTCAAACACTTCTGAATCATTTCTTCGATATACAGTTCATGTCCTCCCATGTCTTTGTGCACCAAAAGTCCACAATCTTTAAATGAATCGAATGGTGAAAATTTCATCTTACAAATCAAAGATGCTTTGCACAAAAAGTTGGTAAAAACAACGACGTTTTCGGGCAGTTCTGTAAACACCTTAAAGTCTGGTGTTTCTCCAAAATCAGTAATTCCTTCAAGTACAAAAGTGTATTCGGTGTTTTTGTGATTTTCAAATTCAAAATTGATTAGTTGCATGATGTTACAAATTGAGTCGAACAATACAAAATTTTTAAGTGATTGATGTTCCATAATAGTGAAAATACTGTTATGAAATTCTGGCATATTGTCCATATTCCTCACAATAACAAGAGATGTCAAGTTAATAAATTGAAATATGTTATTTCCCAGACACTCAATCTCTTCTGAATATAATCTAACTTTCTTAAGTTTTTGAGAAAACCACTGTGGGTATATTCTTGGGTTGTTTTCATCAAAGTTAATTTGATTAATTTCAATGTTTGAAACTTTTTGAAGAGTAATGCCAGTGAGGGTTTGTGGAAACTCGACAAGAATTAGTGTTTCTATTTGTGGGAAAATTTTGATTATCTGATCAATTGGGTGTTTTGACATTAATTTGTATGAATTTGTGGACATCGTCTGGACTAGTTTTAAGCATTTTTTGTTAACACAAACGAATACAATAATGTCACTTAATGTCTCAAAATATAAAACAACTGTTTTTAGTAAAACAGAGTCAAGTTCCATTATTGACAAAATGTTGTTATATTTCGAGTTCTTAACAATTAAAAATCAATGTTAAAATTTCGGGTCTATCACAAGTACGTTTCACTTTAAAAACTTACAAATTAAGCCGAAAACATCAAAATTTGTTATCTTTTTCGTATTTTTTAAATCTTAAACATTTTCCAAAGAAAAAATCGCTTTTTCACTTGATTTGGAAATTGAAATGTCTTTGTATCGTAAAATTGAAATAAAAACTGTACATATTTTTGCAACCAAGATAATAAATAAAATATTTGTTTGTCCAAATATTATTCTAGTCAAAAAAAATTCGACAAATAAAACAACATTTTAATAACATTTATTTCAGATTGAATAAAAATGTGAAATGAATATTATTTATCAATTATAGTATTCATTCAAATTTTAATTTTTTAATTTTTTAAATATTTTAACTACACAAATTAAAACTTAAAAACACAAATGTCGGATGAAAATAAAGATCTTATTGCCACTCCTATAATACATTCTGTTCCAGATGAAAGCAACATCGTTTTATCACCAATTGAATTATCACCTCGTCAAGGGTCTCAAGAAAAAGATGTCGATGAAAATACATTAATTTCGGTCGACAAAAATTCCGACAACCCTGATAAAAAATTGTGCCCACAATCTAACGAAACAACAAAATTTCGCCAAAACCACATTTTCTCAACTGTTTCTTTACTGAGAGCGATATGTGGCGTAGTAGCAGTGTTTTACAATTTGACTTTGTTATTTTCAACTCCTGATTATAAGTACTTTCCATATGGATTTTTAGCAGCCGATTTCTTCTTTCTCCTCTCTGGGTTTCTTGCAGCACATTCGAATCGCGATTGCCGAGACATTTTTATTATAGAGAAGATACAGTGGTTGTGCAGATTACCTTTTCAGTTTTTATTTGCGACCCTATACTGGGCGTACAAGAAACTTATTTTATGCCAATGGAGTAAGAAGAACATTGAAAGTATTGGCGAACAAATTAAAGAAGATAAAAGACCTGTTTTCAATCCATTCACATATTTGATTCGAAGGATATTCAGAATACTTCCAATACAAGTCTTCGCAACGTTTTTCTGCGGTACGTGGTACATCTTGTTAAACCCCAAAGCAAATTATGAGGCTTTCCAGTTTTTGTTGTTTATAGGAAGTCTGTCAATTCCAAGTAAAAAAGACAAATTGATGTTTCCGTTGAACCCAATTGCTTCCAATTTACTATACGGACATTTAGGCAACTTTATATATGCGTTTGCACTCAGACACCTCCACATCATTTTCATCATGTTAATCGATGTGTATTGCGGTTCAACTATTATAGCATTCACACAGAACAAATTCATCTTTTCGGAGTGCGCAAATTTGAGTAAAAATTACACATTGAATTGGGGAATGGCAAATGACAAATGTAATATGAACGTTGGTATTTTGCGAGTGACGTTTGGGTTTGTTCAGGGAATAGTTGTCGAATTTTTCGTACGAAATTTGGTTGATCTGTGGGAACAAAAAATAGGGAAGTTTCCACGTGTATGGGGTTATGTGTGTTCGTTCATTGGTGTATGTGTGTCTGTCTCGGGTCTTCTTATGATATTTATGCACGTCCCTGTTAAAATGGTTTCCTCTTTAAGTGGCCAATTCCAGGCGTTTGCGTTGATAGTAATCTTCCCCGTCGTTTTGGCGCTTGCGGCACTTTGCGAAATTCCTACAAACTTTTTGAGAAGAGGAATGAAGGAAATAGGAGATGTCACGTTTGCAGTGTGTATGTTACACTCTTTTTACGTCACACAACTTGCGAATTACATCAAAAACAACAAACGTGTTGATGTCAGAGTCTTCAAGTGGAACTTCTTTGCGACGTGCGCAGAAGCACTTTTTGTTGGAATTGCAGCGGCAAAGATTTTAGAATTACCGTTGCGATATTTTTTGAACGAAACATATCTTGAAGAAAGAAGAGAAAAAAAAGTCGACTAAATCACCAAAATTGAAATTGAGTTATTACATAACTATTAGAATTTTTGTGTTTGTGATAATACACTAAAAGTGGATTAATTTTATGCATCACACATGTTTATTGTTCAATATTATTCCATTGATGAATTGTTTTTTGAATTAGTTGAATTTATTTATTGATAGTTAAGTAATTGTAAATCAACAACTATACATCATAAAATAAATAAATGAAGAAAAGGTTGATTAAACGAGTTTAAGAATGGACTCTCCGATAATATTACACTCCTCAAGAGTGCTTTCGGAATCTAATTGCTCGCCATTGAAGTCGAGAGTTATTTTACTTGGGTCCATATCAAGCTGTTCTTGAAGCTTTTCTTTCACTGTTTCAATGGTATCATCAGGACGCACCGTCAAAATTATCGACTTTCCAGTGAATAGTTTGACGTATATTTTCATGTAATTTTTCTGAGTTCTTTTTCTGTTTGTTTGCTTTTTAAAATGAAAATGACAAGTAAAATTAAAAAAATAAACAACTTTTTAATTGTATTTTAGAGTAAAATTTCAGTCTTTTTATAAAAATACTAAATATTTCCAGTGTTTTTAACATTGGATAAATTATAATAATACAACTATAATAAAAATGTGATAACAAGTCCTTCTGGTCTATTATCTTCAAAAATTGTTGTTCTCTCTTTTTCGGGTCGAGTCATAAGAAACCAGTGTTTCATGTTAATGATTCCAAAAAATTTCCATTCTCGATTAACTGATACATCATTTTCAGTAAGGTCAGTATCATTGTAGCCTTTTTCTTGATATGTACAACAATTATAATTGAACGTAAAAACGTTCTCATTATAAGTTTCAATTGTCCATTCGTCTGATGTTTCAAGATAAATTGGTCTAATGACATTGTTTATTTCTCCCCAACCAACGATGGTTGTTGCAAATAACAATAAGATTATCAATTTCATTTTACAAATATCAAGTTTTAAAATATGATTAAATACTCTTTGATTGTATAAATCTCATTCTTCCAATTGTTAATTGTAATACGAAAACAATTTTACAATATTTGAAATTGAGTAAATAACAACCACATAGGCAAAGCAAACAACAGGTTTGTTTTTTAAGAAGTTTTATTTATATAAAAAATAATGTTATAATTTATATATTTTTCGAATTTATTGGTTTAAAAAACTATTACAACATTTAAAATATTTGTATCAATAACTCCTAAATTGTTTGT